ATGTAAAGAAACTGTTTTATTTCAGTTAAATCTTATTTGTTTCAAAACTACCAGACACACACACACACACACACACACACACACACACACACACATGTGCCCTGTGGTGTTGGAGCACATCACTTCCTGTTGAGACACACTTTGTCTTCATGCGTCCCTCATGAGAAGAGCGGCTCAATAGGAAACTTAACAGGAAACTGGGAGGATAACTTAGAGCTTCCCACACATTCCCTGAGAGATTCCAACGTTTTCATTGTCTTTAACATCAGGAGCTTCATTCCCATGTCCGTTCGTCTCAATCATTCTGCCAGAGAAGCGCCAGAGGGAAACAGCACACCCAGTTTATGTACATAAGTGTTTTATCTTTTGGGAAATAAAACCCTCATATTTGTCTTCTCCAAATGTACTTTTCATTTATGACTAGAGGGACTCTTTTTAACATAGATGTAAAAACTGATCATAAATTAATATCTGACTGATGGCAACACTTAAAGGACAGGAGTGCTATTATTTTCACCTGCATGAAAGGGATTTTGTCATGTGAGGAGGCATTGATGGATGTGTTTTTAAACTCTCGTATGTAGCGGTTGTATGAATTCACAAAAAGAAGTAGATAAACTAAGAAATATCTGAATCACGGTTGAGTTCAAAGCAAATGCACGTTCTGATTACGTGCTGTAGTTTTATCTGGAGATTTTCTGTTTTGGACAATAATGACTCATTGGATCTGCTCAAAGCATAAGATGTGATTTCTCTACAGATTGGTGCGCTCGACTTTATTTAGAGAGGCAACTGGGACACGGGAGGATTGCATGCTTGCATGGCAGCTCAGCTGTTGCTCCCTTATTTCCTGCAGTAGATATGAGTTTATGCAAAGTGTCCAGCCTTTCCTCCCCTCGCTGCGTGCACATAGCCGTCCCGCTTAGCCCGCTTGTGAATTCAAAGGAACAGTTTGTATTTTTTATGAGTTTAGGAGAAAAGGGGGAAGCAAGGAGGTGGCAAAAATATTTTCTGCAAGTCACAAAGGAGGCTCCTGCCCTCCACACAAACACCCCCCTCCCGCTTTTCCTGCTTTGTTGTCTCTTTCTTGAGTCGACAGTGAAAGAGAACGCTGCTTTCTTCCCATGTCTTTCATTCCTTTCTCTCTTTCAGACCATCTTGCTTTGTCTCCTGGTAAACCTCTCTCTCACACGTTCATCAGCTTTGCAGCAACCCCTTTCTGTCATTGTCAAGTCAGCAGATTATCCTCCATCGTGCTCTAAACAGCAAGCCTCTTCTCTTCCTTTGTTTAGCTCCTTCCCTCACACCTTTGCCCGGCCTTTTCTCTTTTCCATCACCTTGGTGACAGCACATGTCAACATGGACTCTATCCCCACCAAGCTGAAGGTGGACCTGTCACAACCTGCCACATCCTGGTGCAATTTGCCCCAGCAACGTAACAACCAGCTCTGGCACTGACCCAGAAAATGTGTGTGTGAAAAGAAAAAAATGTGCAACTATTTGCCCAAAATTGCTGTGCAATTCAGGAATTTCAAGGCCTCTTTTCAGAAAGAGGATAGATCCACATGACAGGAGAAGCTGAGAGATGATGGAGGGAAGAGATGTGATTAAAAAGAGTGATTTTAATGATAGAAACCAATGTGAAAATGATGGAAAGAACTGAATTAGAGAAGACAAGAAAGATTATGTTGTAAAGGAACATTTTTAAATGGTTCTAAAAGGAAATATAAGAAATATAATCTGAGTGAACTGATTAGATTGGAAGAAATATAAAAATTAGTAGTGTAGTATTGGTAGACAGTGTTTTTTTCCACAAAATAGAGATCTGCACGAAACAATCTAATCCATTGTTCTCTGTATAGAAAAAAATTAATTTAATATGCAAAACCGGAGGAGGAACAATGATACGAGGGGGCGAAATTGAAGCAAAGTCAAGACAGAGTTGGATTGTGGAGAAAATTCAGCCAAGACAAAACTCTACTCATCTAAATGGATGCTGAACTCTTATGCTGATGCTCTTAGTAAAAGGCTTTTGTGTCAGCACACTGAAAACCTCACATCTACAGAGACGCGGTGGCAGACAGCAGCAGGAAATCTGTGTCCTGAGCAGGGATCCCACTAGCTGGCCTGTAGGATTAAGAGTGGAATACTTTTTTCTCTAGCATCCTCCATTTTTGATCTGTGGGACAATTTGCACTGGTAATTCAATGACTGCATCACAGTGCTGTACATTAAAGACCTAGCATTTGCTGAAGATACTTTCTGTCTAGGAAAATCTTTGGCTTTCTCAGCCAACACAGTTAAATGTCCATTTGGGAACTTGGTATGTCCATCCATCGATTTTCATCCGCTTATATGGGGTTGGGTCGCAAGGGCAGTAGCCTAAGCAGGGAGGCTCAGACCTTCCTATCCCCAGCCACTTGGGCCAACTCCTCCAGGGGAATCCCAATGCGTTCCCTGGCCAGCAAAGAAACATGGTCCCTTCAGCGTGTCTTGGGTCTCCTCAAGGTTGGACATGCCCGGAAAACCACACCAGGGAGGCGTCCAGGAGGCATCCTAATCAGATGCCTGAGCCACCTCAACTGGCTCCTCTCAATGCGAAGGAGCAGCTGGTCTACTTTGAGCCTCTCCCGGATGACCGAGCTTCTCACTTTATCTCTAAGGGAGAGCCCAGACACCCTGTGGAGAAAACTCACTTCAGGCCGAGATACTTAAACTCCTCCACTTGAGGCAGGACCTTATCCCTGACCTGGAGAAGTCATTTTAACCATTTCCAACTCGAGACCATGGTCTCAGATTTATAAGAGCTGATTCTCATCCCAGCTGCTTCACACTTGGCTGCGAACCACTCCAGCGAAAGCTGGACATAATGGTCTGATGAAGCAAACAGGACCACATCATCTGCAAAAAGCAGAGACTCAATCCTCAGGCCACCAAAACGGATCCCTTCAACACCTTGGCAACACATGTCCATAAAAGTTATTCACAGAATCTGTGATAAAGGGCCAAATCCAAATATAAATGCATACATAATTACACTCGTATTAGCATACTGAACAAGGCTGTCGCCAAAAGCTAAGGAGTTTTAGATGTACATCCAATTAAAGCACTCTTAATATTTCATGAAAATCTATCAGCGGTTCATGAGACAGTTTGCTAACAGTTAGGGTGGGTTCCAACGTTTGAGACAAAAATGAATCATCAGTTAGGGCTCAAACCCTAGCTCAGTATGTGCAGAGTTGACTGAGATGTAGCTTTTTTCTGCTTGTTATGTTGGAATTGCCATTGCAGCCATCTTGAATCAGGTCAACACCCAAAGTCAGTCAGTTGCAGATGTACATCAAGTGATTAATTCATAAGAATTTATAAAAATCCATCCAAAATGTTCTTTCGATATTATGCTAATAGACAAATTCAGACACAGGCAAAACCAGTATCACCTACCTTTCAGCTTTTGACTGCCAAGATGACCTTGTGGTTTTTGGATTTTTAATTTTTTAAAGTTTTTTACTGCTCTAATTCAAATTCAAAAAAACTTTAATCATCCCCGAGGGGCAATTGTTTCAGTACAGAAGTATTTGTACTGTGGTCATTCGCAACAAGAGTCGCGCTACCGTTAATTAGATGAAAAGGGGATCACATGAGGATAAATTGGGGGAGGAAAAAAAAGGCATACCAGAGTTACTCCCGGCAGGGCGTAGCTTTACTATGCAAAAAAAAACACCTCAAACATATAAGCACGAACATCAACAATTCACAACATGAGACACAGAGAGGAAGGCGGGGGGGAGGGGGGCTGGGATCCTGTTTCCCCAGCGAGAGCAGCCCTATGGCGCTCAGCCACTGTAGCCACAGGTGGGAGGGAGATCTTGGGAGGAGCGCAGAGCACATTGACACCTGCAGGCTGATGTCCTCACCAGGCTGAAGTCCACCAATCCGAAGGCGGGGGGGTAGGTCGGGTTTTCACAGCATCTGTCTGCATTCCTTCGTGGGGGTGTGGTGTTGGCATTCACAAGGCTGCCATGGCATCAGATTCAGATAACAAGACTTTGTTTGAGATAATTTTCCTCTCTGCCTTGAAGTCTGTAACTGATCATTCAAGTCTTCAGTGAAGCCAATTCAGGTTTTAAACATCTCCACACCATCCCGAGATGACATCCATTTTGCGCACTAATACAGGTATCACAGCTAGAACATTGTCCAGCTTATGATTCACCTCGAGTAACGTCCCAGTTTGTGAGGTCTCCACACGGACGGTGCTTTCCGTGGGTGCGGGTCGCCCTCCAATCGCTCCCTTCTTCCCAAATTTCCAGAAAACCAGATATCCTCCCACTCCAATCAGAAGAAATCCAGTGATCATCAGGCCAAATATCCACACATCTTCGACATCCTCAGTGGACAACTGAGCGAGGCATACGATCTTCCACTCCCTCCAGGAATCAAGCATATATCCCGCTGCATGTGTCCCTTGCGGGCAAGTGGGAGCCCCCTCCTCCGTTCTCAGTGTAGAATAAATCTTGTCAATCGCGTTGAATGACCAATTAATTAAATCCATTCTAAAAATTAGGGTTTTTCAGAAGAAATGCAGAGAAGCGCTCTGTGGGCAGACAGGACAAAGAGCCTTGGGAAAAAAAGATAAAGGGAGTCTGTACTCTGCGAGTGCCGGAAGAAGAGACGTCAAATCGTGGCCCACACCTCAACAGGATAATCACAGCAGCCATGTAGTGTATCAAGCACAACCGCCTTGCTGTTTTGTCATTCATCAAGTGTTTTCCCAGCTGACATTTTCTCGGTGTGATGTGGAAGACGGGGCTGATTTTGATGAAAGCATTTGAAAGGTCACGCCAAACGCTGATTTTCCCTTTCCACTTCTGACTTCCATGTTGTACACGACTGACTTTCAAATTGAGTCGAACCCTTTGGGGATTTAGTTCCATCTCTTTATTGTTTTTATTCAAATGAGTCAAAGTTTGACTTGAATTGTTTTTTCTTTACTGCAGATTGGAGGACAAAGCAGATGGGGATCTGCAGGATTACTCTTCTGAGGTAAACACTGAGAAACCTTTTTGTATTCGCTTTTTTTCATTGTCCTTTTCGTCAATGAAATGACATTTTTTTGCAGATTATAAGTTTTGACGGGAAGTTGTACTATTTAATTTTTTTTATCAGCATAATGTTAACAAGACAGCTAAAGAACCATATACGGTAGTGTTTCTGGAAAGTCTAAAATAAAACAAGCAAAAATGTGTCAGAAATGCTTTTATATGGATTTAAAAACCAAATTTCTTTTAAAAAAACATTAAAAATATGTTTATTAAGGGTGTGAATCTTACAACTCACGATTCGATTAGATTCCGATTCTCAGGGTGAAGAAACTATTCTCAATTTAAATCGATTCACAATCATTACTCTTAGTAACAAAGAGTGTCAGTTCCAGGATTAATTAATTTCTTCTGTAAGTAAGAAATCTGCCAGGTGTCTGTGATGAAGTGAGCAATGAATGTGATGGAGTGGGTTGGTCTGGAAGTCCGTGCATCCTTTGACTGCATACAGCATGGAAGTAATTGACTGATAAGCTAGGAAATGTCTGGAAAATGTCTTCTCAAGTAATGAAAGTTGGAAATTGTGGATCGATTCATATTCTTCATAAATTAATTCAGAATATTTATAAATTGGAATCTCAATTTGGACATACATCCAATATTTATAATACACAAAGGTTAGTTTAACTCTTAGTAGCCCTTGGTGTGGTTCAACAAAGGTTGGTGACAGCTGGATTATACTGTTTCACACAAGGATGAAAACCCCACTATGCCAGTTGCACTGTAGATGTTCTCTGCAGGGTTGATGGTTTTGAGCATGCATCCAGTCCTATATGGAGCATGGAGGCAGCTGATCCATGACATTTGGACAAAGTCCACCGGCATAGCATGGTTGTTGGGCATCGAGCAGTACTGACCAAGTTAGCATCATGCTATCAGTGTTATGCTACTGTGTTGTAGTCTTCCAGCACACACACACACACACACATATATATATATAGATAGATATATCTATCTATATATATAGATAGATAGATAGATAGATAGATAGATAGATAGATAGATAGATAGATAGATAGATAGATAGATAGATAGATAGATAGATAGATAGATAGATAGATAGATAGATAGATAGATAGATAGATATAGGGGCTGCGCAGTGGCTAGAGCTGTTGCCTTGCAGCGAGAAGGTCCTGGGTTCGATTCTCGGCCTGGGATCTTTCTGCATGGAGTTGCATGTTCTTCCTGTGCATGCATGGGTTCTCTCCGGCTTCCTCCCACCATCCAAAAACACGACTGTTAGGTTGATTGGTCTGTCTAAATTGTCCTTAGGTGTGAGTGTGTGTGTGCATGGTTGTTTGTCCTGTGTGTTTCTGTGTTGCCCTGCAATGGACTGGCTCTCTGTCCAGGGTGTACCCCGCCTAATTGCCCGCTGACTGCTGGATAGGCACCAGCCCCCACCCCCCCCGCGCGCGACCCTGCATGGACAAAGCGGGCCCAGAAGATGGATGGATGGATATTTATATATGATGTGCAGTATATATACTGCACATACAGTACCCAACATAACAAAGAAGTAGTTGTACCAATGCAGCTTTAGAAGTACTCACAGTGATCCAGTACATTTGTTCCCATCCTTTAATCTTGTTTCTGTGTTTTTATTTTTTTTTATTTTTGCATCATCTTATATCAAAGTGAAGAGGAGTTCAAGAGGATGAAATGCACTTTAGCTTCCTGCTAAGTGACAGTCTGTACCATATCCTTGCCAACACATCTGAAGGTTTTTTTTTTCTTGCCCTGCTGGCACATTTTGTCATACACAACCCTCCACTGTAGCTGCAGCTCCTCGGTTCTTCTCCTTTCTCTCTTTCATCTTCTTGGTAGACCTGCCTCTCATCTGCAGGCTGAGAGTCAGAAATGAACAAATGTTTAACGTGACTGACAGATCTGGGGATGGATGAGGCTGAATTTAGGGTTTTTTACAGTAACTTTGCACAGAGTGTGAGCCCACAATGGGATGTCTTTTGGAAAAATGACCTTTTGGAGTTTTGCATGGATGTGACTATCCAGGTTGCACGTTTTCAACATTTTGAGTGTGAAAAGAGGGAGTGTCAACATCTAATGTTGGTTCTTCAAATGACCTGCAGGTTGCTTTGGAACAGCCAGACACAACACAAGGACTGTGGCACCATCTGGACCACCAGTATCCTTTCATGATTGTTTTTCCTCCTGTGGACTCTAGCTAGGATTGCAATTTTTACCATTTACATTTGAACAAACTCATTCAGTTCAAACTTGAGGGACTTGTTAAAAAGTTTTGGTCTCGGGGTGTAGGCCTATCAAGCCCTCAAGCTTCGAGCTTCATGTTTTAAAATACTAAATATTATTTGACAAGCTAACAGAGCTAACCAAGCAGATTGCTGCTGTTTTAAAACTATTTCGGTATTTTAAAAGCAATTTTAATTCATGAAAATGCGGTTTTACAATACTTTCCACAGCTTTGAGCATTGGCATTGCACATAAACATATATTTCTGAGGAATTCAGTGGGTACTTGCAGAGAAAGTTAGCAAGGTAGCTAATAACATAGCAAATCTGCTTGATTTCATTATATTTTTGCAGAAATAACCACGAAATATTGTCGGCATCAATTTCTTTGACATTTTTCATATTGGAGTTTTTAAAGATGTCCCACATGGACTAGCTGTTAGCTCATCGATTCCATCAAAGTAATTCCTATTTCTCTAAACTGAGGTCATTCCAGATTAAAACTTTGTACTTTTGAGTCCTAATACATGGCCGCATGATACTTCAAGTGACTCATTCAATAAATAAGTTTGAGCCAAACATTAAGGACAAGGCCTCCGCCCACATTGATAAAAATAAGTGGAACAAAACAAGAATCAGCTGCCAGAACCTCTACTGGTAACCAAAGAGCAAAACCCCTGTGTGTTTATAACCTTTGTGTTGAATCAGACCAACAGTTTATAGTCTTTGTTCTCTCCACACCACCAGAAAGATGCGGTTACTATTTTATGCACATTGTGAAAAATAAGAATATTTTACCTTAAAAAGTTCAGGGGAGTGTTTTAAAGCCTTTGGTTTGAATAAAAATTCATTGAGGGTGGCGAGGGGCTATATTCTTTTTCCAAAAAAAAAGGCATAATTCACTTATGCATGCATAGTATTTATCACAAAAAGTATGCATTCTGATCTTTTTTCTCACAAATGTGGTACAGATTTGAATCAAGATGCACATTTAACAGGGATGCAAATGGAGCTTTTGCCATAATATAAATATTAGAAGTACTTTATGCTCCAGTTTTGTCAAACTCGAAACATTTTGATCAGATTTCAAAGCTTTGAGTCCTTTTAAAAGATAGTAGAGCACTAAAGAGAGAGAACCGCTGGTGCAGCACTCCCATCAGTCAGGCTTTTATGGTACAATGAGCAATTCCTCACCAAAAGACTCCAGATGCTATGAGTCAGACAAAAGAAAAGAGACTAACTTTATGACATTTGTTGAAATAAAGACTGAATTGTTTGACTTATTTCTTCCAGAAAGTAGGGAAAAAACCAGGAGCTGATCATCAACTCATTGATACTAAACCTTTTACCCAAACATGAAGACAAAAGTGTTTTTTTATTAGAATGCATCTGTAGCGTCATGAATGTCCTGTTTATGATCTAAAGGTCATGATCTGCTGTGTCTGCTCGAGCAGAGACAAAGTCTCTGACGGCCTAATCTACATGAGATAGTGGCCAAGGTCTTTCATGCACTCTGCTCATCTGAACTGCTTCACCTTTGTTACCAAGCGAAGACAAGAACTATTTTGATAAATACATAATCAACAACTTTGTTAATTACCAATAATAATGTGAGCCCAATGTTCAATCAGTCTGTGAAATGACAATGTTCTGATCGGAGGCTTCCCCTGGGTATGTAGACCGGCAGATGGCGTTTCATGTGTGTTATAAATCTCCTACTAAAGTTTAGAGCGAAACATTCACTCCCACTCAGAATTAACCACTTTTTCGGATCCGCTGGTTCTGAATAACATCCCACACACACACCACCATCATTCATCACGTCTCACTCCACCTTAGTCCATCAGTACACAATGTTAAAGTTAGTCTTGTTTAAACTGTGTAGAAATAAATTTCTTAACTATTTTAAACCTGACCCTCTCTCTTTCCTTGGAGTTAATACGAAGTGTCGCTTAATCCCTACAATAAAAAGTTCCGATCTTCTGGTTAAAATAGTCAAAGATCCATCAGATTGATATTTCATATTTCTATGGAATCTCACATTTTATGGTTCATAAATAAGATGTAAACGACTCATTCTTTACACATCAAACCTTAATGTTAAATTACTGCTGCTGACTACAGACTCCTGCAGCAATGCAGTTAGATGTAGATCTGCTGGCAATGAACCTGATGTGACCTTTTAGAGAAATTCCATGAGGACTGGACTGAATTTAGGCTAATCTGATTTTCCACTTATTGGCGTTTTGACTGGACCCTGTGTTCGTTCAGGAGCAGAACGTTTCTCTGTCTCCTATAAGACAGACTTATGACTAAACATCCAAACACTCCGAACTCTCGTTTGCATTTTTGACAAGTCCTCTTTTGAGAAGTTTTGATGCGTTTAAACAAAGCTAAAAGGAGGGAAATAAAGTGGTGGTGTTAAACTACAATCACTCGTAATGTGACTGCACAGCCTGGAAAACGAGCATGCTCTGGAGACTTTTGCATGTTGTTCATTTGCATTTTTTATCTCCTATCTTCACATTTAATCTCTTGCTTTGTGTCTCATTCTCATAGTTTCTTATTTGTTGCATCTCTTTGTTATTTAGATCTTCATCTGCTGAGTTATTTTGGATTTCTTTGCAGACATTTTGCACCTGCCTTCTTTTCTTTTATTCATCTATCCGTCTCTGGATTTGCCTCTCTTCCTGATCATGATCTGTCTTTGTTTTTGCTAGTATCTGTGGCTGTTGTGGGCCTTTTTCCAGTAAATCTGACTCTTTTCAATCCTTTTATAGCATTTATGTTCTACTTGCAATTTCTTTCACTTAATCTTCAAATGAAAAAAACTGTTGAGATTTTCAGAAGGCTTTTCTCTGGATAGTAGCTGCACTTTTAGTCATTTTCTGTAATATTGTCTCCAGTTTCAAAAGAAAGCTTTTTTAAAGGCACATCTTCCAAATCTGAGGCCATGATTCTATCGGAAAATAAAATGCTATGGTATTAATATATTACCTTTAATCAAGTATTTTGCAAATTTGAAAGCATTAAATGTTCTTTATGCTCAGATCTTGTACTGCTCTCTCTAAAACACTCAAAAGGTTCCATCTTCCATGCAAATATGTTTTATTTGCCCTCAAATTGAATCTTCTGCTCTGCTCTTTATCAACTCACTTGGATGACGCATCCACCATTGATAGTGGATGAGAAAAGGTGGGTTAGTGGTCTGCTGGGTGCAAAATGTTTGTCAGGGGGAGTTCACCCTAAAGAAGACTGTGACCAGCTCACTTGTTAGCATCAAATCTGGCGTCTTTTTGACTGAGTGAGTTTTGGCTGGATCATCTTGCTTCAATCCAGGAGAAAATCCACAAGAGGAAGTTTTTATTAGCGCAGAGAAGAAGAGGGAAGGAGATCAAACTCCAAAGAGTTTTTTTTTTTATTTGAAAGCACAAGAGCCCATGTTTAAATGCAAAAGGGGACTTTTTAGGGTAAACAGTGGTTTAATACATGGTAGCACAAAATCTGAATGAGAAAAAAAGGCCTGGAATATACTCACTGTTTAACCCCCAAATTCCACTACATCCGCTCCGGTCCACCCCCGCCTTCCGCAGCCGCTCACTTCCGAACTCAATTTTTACTGGTACCCGCTCTACAACGGCTCCGCTCCGGTGCGGAGACCTGAGGTGGGCAAACAAGCGGGATTTTCGAGATCTTGCGATACAGTCCGAGCAATAAACGCGGAAGTTAGATCCAAACACCCGTTGTGTGGGAGAAGCATCGAAATGAACTGTTTAATCTGCCCATCATTTGTGTTGAGAGATCAGCAGTGTTTGGATCAACAAAGTGTGACTACTTTGATAGTGGAAACTGTATTTATGGCTTACTTTTGTGCATTTAAACTTCAGCCGCCATTGATAGTTGTTAAAAGTTGTTAAACCTGTGCATATGAAACAAAAAAACGCTTTTTGTTTATCGATTTATTGTGAAATAACAGAAGCTGTGCTTGCTCCCTTTCCTGTTGGGCAGTTGTGATTACTGTCCATTGACTGCGGAGGTGCTCCGGCGTCCGGCAAAAATAGAATCGATTCTATTTTTGCCGGACGCCGGAACAGAGGACGGCGCACTGCGCCGCACTGCCGCAGTAGTGGAATTGCTCTGATTGACTACAATGGGACCGATTTTGCTGCGGAGTTCGTGTCGGAGCGGAGCGGAGGTAGTGGAATTTGGGGGTAAGAGACACGATTGGACGCTGCAATATACAAGTAGCCAGTAGGCGGAGTTGACGAGACAAGCGAGACATGGTTCACCATGGTGACTTTGGTTTGCAGGTTTTTCACACTACCTACGATACCACTGCTGTCTTTTTTTCCTGCTACGATCTTAAATTAACCAATGACTGATCTCTTCTATTGATGCCATGTTTGTTTTTGTTTTACCCCACAAATCCAGCTCCCTATCCTGTCTGAGTTCTCTAATGTGCCCCCTACTGGAATCCTCCAGAACTACACACCGTGCTGCAGCAACTATCAAATCAACTTTATTTATAAAGCGCTTTCACATGCCCAATGCAGGCAAACAAAGCGCTGTACACCAATAAAAAACACAGCAATAAAACAAACATATATAACCAGTCAAATACAATAAGAATTCCCAAGTACAGTTTAGCAATCCGGATCAGTCCTGTTTCCAGAATCAGATCCAGAAACATTCAAAGTGATGCTGCCCACCCAATCTCAACTTCAATGTCCAAGCGCCAATGAGAACAGATGGTTTTTTTGTTGGCTTTTAAAGCTCTCAAGTGATTGGGCCAGCTTCACATTGGCCAGCAGCTCCTTCCAGAGCCTTGGTCCCAACACTGAGAAGGCACGGCTCCCACGAGACTTCAAGCTGTACCTGGGCACAGTTAATAGTCTCTGGTCAGCTGACCTAAGGGAACGCACCGGGACATGCCGGT